AAAAAGGCATGAACATTTTTTGTATCGAAAAAATATCGAACCGTGACACCAAAGTATTGAACCGAACCGTGAATTTTGTGTATCGTTGCTCCCCTACTAACTACATAGTCCAAAACAATCATAGGGTTGACACAATATCCCTCTATCAGTTTCAACCAAGAACTGAATATACTTCACAACTGCTTAGTACACTGTCATAGCTAGTGCAGCAGCTCCTGCAGCATAAATATTGTTGCATATTTGGTGGCTGCTCTCTGGTCATAAAGGGATAGACATGGTCATTAACATTCCATAGTTTTAAGTCATTGTGGCAGTAAGGACAGACCTGACCACATATTCGCTCTTAAACACATGTTTATTCCGGTTGTCGTTTTCCTTAAAACACGCCCGCAGCTTTCCAGCTGCGTCCTACACACAACAACAACCAACTCTTCAGGTCCCGGCGTGTTTAATAGGGAGGCGTGATGAGCTGATCGAGCTCAGGTGTGTCTATCTGCCCCACAGCTGCGCCATGAACCAAGTATGTGACTCACTACCCTACAGGGCAAAACATACCTTGTCGTGACAACCAATAGCGGACAGTTAGATTTACCGCAAGACAAGGAGGGGGGGGAAAACACCTGTTTCTGCTTGGATCATCTATCCATGGATGAAAAACAAAGATATGAAGGGAAACTCCATATTGTGCCTCGGCAGCGCTAGTTAAATCCTTGAAAGTGGCGATGCCTCTCCCAAAGCTCCAGTTCAGTGACATCTACTTGCAACTTGTAGAGAATTGATCACCTTACACTGCTGCCAGGATCTGTGGTTTCAAAGTATGAACATCTACAGGCATGTTGATGGGTGTGTCCCAGTACCTCCGATTTCACTTGAAAACTACGGATACTCATGTAGATTGTGGTGTTTAAACGATGCTCAGTTAAGTACTAAGCGGGCCAAAGTGTGCCAAGAAAATATCCGTCACATTACACCACCAGCAGCACCTGAATCCATGCTTTTATGTTGTTTACACCACATTCTATCCTATCATCTGAATGCTGGAGCAAAAATCAATACGCAGACCAGGCAAAGGTTCTCCAGTTCTCTATGGTTCATTTTGGTGAGCTTGTTCCCATCACCTCGAAGTAGATTGGTCTTTTTCCTCTGACCTGTAGCATTAACAAGGCACCTTTTCCCAGAGAAATGCTGCTCACTGGATAATTTCTCTTTCTCAGACAACTCTCTGTAAACTGTGGAGGAAAATGCCAGTAGACCAGCCTGTGTGGCACCAACACAATGTCACGTTCAAAGTCACTGAAATCCCCCCCCCCAATCTTCCATATTCTGGTGCTCAGCAGGTCATCTTGAACATCCATCTGCATGGACTTGCTTCCATTTGATTGCTAATTACACATTTGTGTTAATGAGCAGTTGAAAAGCTGCTTGCACAAACACAGCAATCAATTTCATTCCCCACTTCATCTTTCTGATAAGAAGTGTAGTTATGCAACGTTTTAACATGCTTCTTGTACTGAGCTTTTATGACCTGCACAGTTTTACACATTTTTGATACCCTGCTGACAGCTGTAACAGTACAGCAGCCGCGTGCACTTACTCTGGCCACGTGCCATACCAGCTGTACCTGACATAATCACTCTTTAGCTTCTTTTAACAGTACGACACCTTAACAGAAATCAGTACGTTAGCACCTGAATTTTAGCTTGTATTATTAAGGCAGGGAGCGTACTTTACAGACTTGTAAAGCTTTGCTAACACGGTGCTAACGGTTAAGGGCTTCTCCTGGCATACCTAACGGCGCCCCAGCAGCCTTTAAGTTACATTTTTCATGGATGTTTCTCCTCTGTCAAAGACAAACACACAGCATTCAATCACTAAAACGATATTAAAGTAAATGTTAATACCTTAATAGGTACAGCGGACGCCATAACGACAGTTTTCTTGCTGTTAACAGTAGAGCTAGACAAATTCCGGCTTTTATACATCCGAAAGGAAGCGGGACATCAAATTCCTCTTCCTGTTTGTTTGGGTTTTTTTTCCAAAATAAAAGCAAAGCAACGTTTGATTATTTTTATGTATAAAACATCCCTGTTATAGTAATGTTTGTTCTGGTCATGATGTTTATATATTTAAATGCACAATTAAAAAGAAAACAAGTAGGCTAATGAAGTAATCGTATGATTGTATTCAGCAAAACAATTTACATCTATATATGACCACGTCAAACGCCCAGTGCAACATTAAAGAAACAAGTCAGGTATATAATGAAAAATTGGTATGCAAGATTTTGTTCACTGAGTATACAACCATTTAGTAAAAGATTATTTCCTCGCTTAACTTTCATTTTGGTTTCATATTTACATATCTTATGGTTTACCAACAGTTGCCGTCCTGTGAAAAACTAAGCACACGAAAAATGAGAGCCATATATGAGGATATTCGATTAAATTTTCGATAGAACAGTAGCAGTATAATGTCCTTGTAAGTGAATATCAGGGCCTTGTAGAGCAAAATTGAGTATTTTGGTCTAAATAACCCAAAATGTGATGTCCACATATGTGGACGCCAGGTCCTATGAGGTTAAAAAAGCATCTACTTTTCTACAGGGACTACACTACACACTTAACTGCCATGTTAAAAGTTAAAGTTCATCAAGAGTAAAATTGGAAAAGGGATGAACAAGTATGGTTTGTTTGGAAGGGTTACCAGGAAAAAGCTTATTCTCTCTAAACCAAACATTTTAGCATAGTTTAGGTTTGCAACTTTAAAAAACACAACTTCTGAAACAACGTTTTTTTGGACAGATGAGACCAAAGGGGAGATGTCTGACCATAATAATGTACAGTGACCTGTGTCGTGAAATCAAACATGGCATATGAGCACAAACACCTCATACCAAGTGTAAGTGGGGTGATGTAGGGGGTAATGATTTGGGCTTGTTCTGCAGCCACAGGACCTGGGCGCCTTGTAGTCATTGAGTTGACCATGAACTCCTCTGTTTACCAAAGTATTCTCAAGTCAAATGTGACCCCATCTGTCCAACATTTAAAGCCTGGATGAAATTTTGTTGTGAAGCAAGCCAGTGAGAACAGCAGCAAATCTACAACAGAATGGCTGAAAAAGAAAAGAATCAAGGTGTGCAAATTCCAGACCTCAACCTGACTGAAACGCTGTGGCAGACCACTAAGACACCAGTGTATAAATGAATGCATGCAAACCTCAAGGAACAAAGTGTGGGCCAAAATGATGAAGTCACACAGAAACATTACTCATTAGGTATGCTTAATATTTCCCATGATGGGAGAGTCCTGTGAAATTTTCCTTTTCACACAACTAAAAATACAAATAAACATGAATAACAAGCACCTGACAGAAATGCATAAAATAGTGTCCTGGATAAACTGTGATTTTTAGAATGGTATTTATCCAACATTAGACGGTATAGTCACTACGTAAAGTAAGCTTGACTGCATAAACTAAAGTGTCATCAACAAATATATTCAATATTAATTAAATGAGATGTTATCACAAAATCAAATGGTTTTATGAAGTGTTACTACATATGGCAATATAGTGATGCCATAGCATCTGATAAAGAAACACAAGAAACTTCAGGGGAACAATGATGTACCTGTGTGCCAGCTCTCATTGTTGAACTCCTGATTGTGTGGGAGGAGTTTGCAGACAAACAGAGATCTCATCTATTACATAGTAGGACAATTCAGTTCACCAGAATATTGTAGTCCACTCCATTTGAAGCTTGAGATGTAATATGGGGATTTGGTGTTTGAATACTTTATTTCTGTTTTGCATTATTATTTTACAACCCTTTAAAATAACACATACCTTAAGTACCTTCATAAAGGTTTTAATTGTTATCATTTTCTGTGGTTTACTGCATGTTTTCAGATTCATTACAAACATTTCACCACCAATTTTTTTTCTATAAATTTAATGTACTTTTACGTACATTCTCCATTCACATCTTGGATCTGCCCTGTTTTATACTGTTTGCTTGAGTTTGAAGCTGTAACGTAATACAGTAAAAAAGGGGGGAAATACTGTGACTGGTAATTATGCTCTTTTTCTCTGACACACAATGAATCTTTACAATTTATTTAGAAATAAAATTCAATACAAATGAAGTTATTTTGAAATCAAAACATTATATTCTTTTGTCTCCAGATTATAGCCGACTGATGGCAGCACAAATTGTAATCAGCATTAACCCTGAGAGACCCTCAGCACATAATACTGAGTAAGAACTGACTCTTAAAAAACAAAAAACCAACAACAACAACAAAAAGACGACACTTCCAATATTATTCCATTTGTCTTACACATAGTAGCACATAACAGATATAAAAGCATTGTTTTAAATCAGGCCATGGAGGTCTAAAAAGGTCATCTTTCTCATTGTGCATACATCATACCATCAGTTTGTCAGTGTCCAATGTAATATCACTATAGCAAACATGTGATATGTGCTTTCACCCTACTGAACACTGTTGTGATTTTAAAAAAAAATGGTGGCAGGTGGCAGCAGCTGAGGGTAAAAATCTGATATAGGATTACAACAGTGTATCTGCAGGGGTAGTGTCTACTGTGTCATCTGTCCTATCGTCTGCGGGCTTATCATTATTAGCATTAGTGGCCTGAGTGATACTGTCATTAGCAAATGAATCGCTGTCACTATCAATGGTAATGATAGTGGGTGAACGCTTCTCTGTGCGTTCGCTGCTCTTGTGCCTTTTGCTTTTCTTCTTGTGTTTCTTCTTTTTCTTATGGTGACGCCTGCCCCGCTCATGTGCCTTTTCCTCATTGAGGAGCTCCACACTGAGACTCCTGCTGGTCTTTCTAGACTTCTCTTTGGATTTTTTACGGTGCTTCTCTTTGCTTTTTTTCTTGTGTTTTCTTAATGCAGAGGAGTCACCATCTGCATGGGAGTTAAACGCTGTGGTACTGGAGGGGTCCTCTAAATGTCTTCTTTTGTACTTCCTCTTCCCACCAGGCTTGTCATAATGAGATTTCCTTCTGGCAGAAGGGGAGCGGCTGCTGGAATAAGTCCTGGATCGAGAGCGCCTCCTGTACCGTCTCCGTAAATCCTTGTCGCGGCTACTGGAGCGAGAGCGGAAACCTGAGCATCTGCGGCTGCTGTAATAGTACGAGTGCCTTTGTGTGTAATGGAGCCCGCTATCGTTTCTCTCTTGGCTGTAATGGCTATATGACTGGTAGGTGTAATCACTGTCCCTTTTATATCTGTCACACCTGGAGTAGTCTCTTCCATTTGAATAAGAATAACTTTTTTCAGTGGAATAAGTGCTCACACTGCTGTGGGAGATCACCGGGCTTCTGCTAGAGTGCCTCCGCTCTTTACTTCTTGACCTCCTCCTCCTATAGTGTCTGTCCTTTGATTTGTGCCTCTCCTTAGATCTCTCTTTGCTGTCAAATCTTCTACCCTGACCTTTTCTGTCTGACTTCTTATACGTCTTGCTTGATCTTTCTTTTGAACTTGAGTGGTGACGATCATCTGTGTCTACATTTTCTGATAGTCCAGCCCCACTACGATCACTGCTATGTAGAGTTGCAGGACTGCTACTGGTGAATCGAATGTGTTGAGGCTGAAGAGGCACTTCTTGAGTATCGTCAGCAGACCACTCAGAGTCAGAGGAAAGCTGAACCACCTGAGGAGTCCGATCTGCTGTTGGTTTAACAAAACCCACAATGACACAGTCATCACTGTCAGAGGATACACAGTCTTCATTATTGCGTTTGCCCTGAGTCAGGTCTGTTTGGTTATGAGGACTCATTTGCTGTGGTGACGCAAACTCTTGCGTCTCTTCTTCCAAACTACTGTCAGAGTCTGAGTCCAAGACTGACAGATGCTCTGTCCTGCCCTGCTCTGCTGTCGTAGAATACGACGGCCCAGGTGTCTCATCATCCCACAACGAGAGGCTCAAAGCAGATGTGGAGTCATCTGGGTTGTTCAACCCTGTAGAGTTGTCTTCATCCTCTGAGATAGCGATTATTGATGAGTTGGAGCTGCTGTCTTCATTTGAGGAAGGCGCCGGACAGTCGTAGACAGCGTGCTGATCATATGCCTCCATGTTGAAGGGGGACTTTGCGAAGCTGATGAACTCGTGCATAAAATGCTCTGCGTGACTGTGGAGGTAGTGCCTGAGCTCTTCCTGAATAGCTCCGTCTTCCATGTTATATCGTGTAATGTGTGACATGATGATATGTTGAACCATGTTGCCCAAAGAGCCATGGGTTCCATATAGCACATTCAGCTCTCTTTTCAACCAGGGGATCAGTCTGTGAAGGCAGGCTGGATTTCTTCTGTAAAACTCCGCTGAGGTGTCTCGGGAGCGGCCACCATCCTGAACATTTCGAACCCTCACCCCCCGTCGGTACAGCTCCCGTCTAAAGTTGATAATTTCTTGCTCTCGGACACTGGCCACCGCCCTGCCTTCCCTTGCAGCTCTCCTCTGGGTTGCCAGCCTCATCATCATGCGCCGCATGTAACGGTCTGGCCGCTGTTGGGAAGAATTTGTTGGGCCTTCAGATATTATACCAATGTCAGGAGCCAGAGACATCCTTCCTCTCAACTGTCGATGGGCTGCGGTGAGAGTTGTGCGGTATCTAAACCGCACTCCCTGAAAATAACCAAAAGAGCCATTGTCCACTGGCTGCAGGTCATAAGTCTTGAAGTCTTGCTCTGATTTTATACTGTGATAAATTGAATTAAACTGCTGTTTACACAGCGGACACTCTGCTTTGTTCTTGGACCACTCGAGAATGCAGCGGAAGCAGAACCTGTGCAAGCAGCGGTCAAGGCGGGAAATGTTGCTGAATGTGTCCAAGCAGATGGGGCACTTGGAGTCGGGTGACACCTCTGCAGATTTTGTTTCGGAGGACCTTTTTCTGCCATTTTTTTGGCTCAGTTGCAGGGCGAGCTTGACTGCTGACATGATCTGACATGATAACAAAAACACGTTGAAAAATGAAAAATAGTTAAATACATTTACCCAAAAAAGGCATTCGTGGAGCTCTAAACTTTACTAGTTTGACTTTATAATAAACACTGTTAGAGGACAAGAATGTAACTTTTATGCACTTGATTACACTGTGACTTATACAGATGTTATTGAGTGGCTCACTTTACATTATACATTGATAACATTTTCTGACACTGTGCGACTTCACTTGGTTTCTGTCAGGTTCAACATTGAAAACATTAAAGTTACAAATATATCTTCACACATATTGTAAACACCTTTTTTCAGCAGCCACAGGTGTTAGCAATGCCACTAATGAAGCTTCTGTTCTAGTCAGGCCAAAGCCTTAATCGATGTGACAGTAACATCTGTGTTTACCTGCGGTGTTGGGGTAAAAATGGCTGCACTGAAAAAAGTTTTTTCAACATACAATTGTTAGCCACTTACGATGTCCCTAATCTTCACTTTTTCACAATATTGTCATTCATTTACATGTTTTAGAGATAAAAGAGGTGGGGTGTTGTACTGGTCAGCATTATTTGTTTTCTCCTGTTCTATCCTCACATTGGCTAAAACGAACATTACAAAACACCACATGCATGTCTTCATTAAATGTAGTACAGAAACACTTAACTGCGGCCTCAATAACAAACTAATTGTGTTTTACATCTGTAATTCAGCTGTAAGTCATCATAGACCAGAACCCCCTACAAAGCAGGTGCTGAAGATTATCCATGTAACTTCAGGGCTAAATCTGGGTTTTCTGTACTATGAAAGCAGTTCACTTCTTTACCAGGGGAACATTGCTATAGTAACTTATACTGCAGACCTAACCAGTTCCAGAGCAAGATCAGAGATCACCTCCTCCTTCTGGAGGACTATTCCAATTCAAACTCTGGTGCATAAAAAGTGGTGGGTCTACAATGTTAAAAGCATCTTTCCCTGATGACCATCACTAATAAATAATATAAATATCTCGCTATGGCGAGATACTCCTGTGGGGTCGTGAGGGGAAGAGTACACGATAAGGTTACCGTTTGTCTATTAATGAATTTGACTTAAGATAAGAACACCACCCACACAACTTTTTCTGCTTTATGTTCTGTAATATTCATTTTGTTGCCCATCATACAACATATACACACATGACGATGGCACATCTGTGGCAGGCTCATGTCTGAGCACTGATATACTGGTAGGGCTACATGTTATTATATTATACTAAAACGTTGGTTAAAAAAAACACTACAAACAACAGGAATGGGTGCTTGCTTGAGGATAACATGGCGAGCGATATTGTTAACAGTAATATTATTACAATTAGCCATTCGGAACAACTATTTATGAGCTACATGAGCGATAAAATACATATTACACAGCCCCTAAATGTCTTTCTTGGCCATCGATAATCTCGACAGACATGTCACAGAATAAAATCTATACACCGGAATGCCCCTAATAACCGTTTTCCACTTTGTTTCTTTTTATCATTTTGTTAGCTTAGCAACTACAACACTTGTGTTTCCTTTTGGAGAAGTTGAATAATATCTAGACACTCTAACTTAAAAATCGTCTTTAAGAGCTGTTACATATATAGTAACAAGCCCCTGGGGTATATGAAATGTTACATAAACACCAACGTGACTTAGCAAAACAATAAACAGTAGTTTGAGCACACATTGACCAGGTTAGCTCAAGTTAGCAGGCTAGCTACGGACGTTACAAAGCTTGGAACTCTGTGGCTACTCGGGACTTTCGAGAAAAGTTAAGTAATAATTACCTCTGAATCCTTCAGACAGCCACGAATGCGGTGACACCTGATTACTTCTCCCCTTATTGTGGAAACACATTAATTTCTATATGGCCACCAGTCCTGGAGCGGCTGTTGACAGAACTATGAACCCCCTTTTCTTCCATAACAGACCGTGAATTCAATGAGCAACTTCCGCTAACTTCCTTCACAATAAAAGTTCAATTTTCAGGTTTCCGGGGGGGGGGGAATTAGCGCCCTTCACAATAATATGAAGCGCTATCGTCATATTTACAATTATATTCTTGGAGCCCTTTGCCTGTCAGCAAACCTATGCAAAAACATTTCGGAGAAGGATGACTTTCTTTAAAACTCATGCCATAAGTGCAGTAGATACACTTATGGATTAGATGCACTTATGGCGTGAATTTAGAAATCCTAGGTATCTTATTCTTCTTGAGTTATTGCATTCACATGATTTTCAGAAAACTTCACATGTGATCTTTAAGTTGAGGTCGAGGTTTTAAGTAAATACGCTTTTGGTATAAATTTGCAAATCCCAGGTGACATCTTTGTCACATTATCATGGTCACAAGGTTTTTTTAAAGGCATCTTTCAAGTGTTCATCTGCACATGGCCATGTTTGCAAAAATGAACTCTGATCGACTGACTGCACAATTTAAAAAAAACAAAAAAACAATTCTACTAAAACCGTCCAAAGACATGCAACTTGTGGGAATAGGTTGATTGGATAATCCAAATTGCAAGTGAATGTGAGTGCGAATGGTTGTCTGTCCCTGTGTGTTGACCCTGCGACAGACTGGCGTCCTTTCCAGGGTGTACCCCGCCTCTCGCCCTATGACAGCTGGGATAGGCTCCAGCGCCCCCCCGCGACCCTGAAAAGGATAAGGAAGCCAATGGATGGATGGATGGAATTCTACTAAAACACTATCACTAATTTATTCTGTTAAGTCAAGTTCACACTCATAACTTTTGAGTATTTTAATCACATATACAGAATTTTTTACAAGAGAAACTCAAGGAAAAAGCTGAACTATTTCCTCTTCAATGATGGCCGTGGGTCTCTGGGAGATCTGGAACAACTTCACCCGTCTCCAGGATCGTGTCACCCTAAGCACAAAAAAAGTATTAGTTATGGTAAAACAAGGTAACATTCAGTTACATTTATACAAATACATGAAGAATAAATGGGGTATTATGTGAGAAACAAAAAAAAGTTAACTGTTGGAAGTAATAAATAATAAATGGGTCACACTTACTGGGAACAGCTTGGGTTTCAACTCCACAATGCCATACGGCCTTTGCTGTAGGGAACAATGACACGGAATTTTAATATGCTACCCATTCTGATCGAATCAGTCACATGATCTCCATCTACAAACGAAATCCAAGGTGCAGGGTTCTCTAGTTTGGCCAAGAATAAGTTAATGCTGCATGTCTGTAACGTAAAACTCTTTCTTTTAGTTGCCTTGTGAAGTTATTCTCTAAGCTAAGTTGTACACAAGTACAGGATGTCATTTTAGAGTTGTTTTTTTTCGTGGGCGATCGTGGCTCAAGAGTTGGGAGTTCGCCTTGTAATCTGAAGGTTGCCGGTTCAAGCCCCGGCTCCAACAGTCTCGGTCGTTGTGTCCTTGGGCAAGACACTTCACCCGCTGCCTACTGGTGGTGGTCAGAGGGCCCGGTGGCGCCAGTGTCCGGCAGCCTTGCCTCTGTCAGTGCGCCCCAGGGTGGCTGTGGCTACAATGTAGCTTGCCATCACCAGTGTGTGAATGTGTGTGTGGATGGGTGGATGACTGGATATGTAAAGTGCTTTGGGGTCCTTAGGGACTAGTAAAGCGCTATATAAATACAGGCCATTTACCATTTCTTCTTTCAAGTTACCTGGGTTGAATACTATCAAACAAATTAAATACAATTTTTAAAAAAAATAGCTATCTTCTTGAACTTCATATTATGGCTCTATCATCCATCTCCTGTATTTAAAGGCTTAGATATAAATAAAAATGATCAAATGTGGAAACTTACAGCAACATGGTATTTCACGTAGTAGTGAACAATCCAAGCGGGTATCAGCAGCCGTGTTAATGTGAAAACTCCACCTCTGTACGCTTTGTAGGTCTGCAAGGACAAACAAATATCAGTAAAGAGAAGAACATACAGAATCATAATGTTTACAGGGACTGAGTTTGTTCTTTTGCTAAAGATGTGGAATATGTGATATACGGTTTAGATAAAGGGCCTAAAGATTTTCAGTGTTCTACAGATTATGAAGACCGCAGCTCCACCCCCAACATCTTATCTCCAATATATCCACTAAGCCACACTCTGCACACGCCCAAACCATCTGAACCTCTCCAAACTGATTAACCTGAGTTGTTTCTATAATTTAATCTGATCTTATCTTGCCCATTCACCTTCACCACCTTTACTTCTAGCATCTTCACCATTACACCTGCTTTCCTCTCATTCACACACACATTTATTCTGTCTTGCTTGACTTTCTTTTCTTTTCTGTGTAAAGTTCTCTGCAGTGACTACCCTTGTATCAACATTTTCTAAAAGCTAGGGATGCACAGATTTATTCTCCTTTATTCCGCTACATCTTATGGCCTTCATCAGGGTCATAACAATGCATAATACACAACATTTTTAATAGCATAGGTATGGATTAGTCACTTTTAAAATGTTGTCTGTAAACTTATTGGTGAGTCAATCAAACCATAATTTTTCTCCAGCATTAAACTATAGTGCATATTTTAAACTAAGTAGGTATTGTTGAAGGAACAGATTTTACTGACACCATGCTTAAAAATTACAATTTGAGCATTTATTTTTTATGTTTGTTTGTTTGTTGTTGCTATTCTGTGGCAAGGAAACAAAGAATCCATTACAAAAAATACATTTTAGAGTATTTTCTGCTTAGTTGAGGCAGTTTAGTTCTTGTATCTACTAAAGATAATCCAAGGAAAACCTTAGATCGTGTCACTGACATAGAACAACATCACAATATAAGCTGTAGTAGATGCGGTCTGTGTGTGTGTGGCATGAAGCCTGCAAAGTAAACGCGGCCAACCACGTTAGCAGTAAACAGCTACCCTGGCCCTTGTCCTTAATGAAACGCTACTAGTAGCAGATAAACCGCTCGGTTTGATTCCAGCTGTAAATGTCATTATTAGCGGTCGTCGGATCAGCTGTGTACGAGAACTCACGTAAACCCTCCACAGGCTCTTGGGCTCCAGAAAACCAGCCCAGAACTTGGCGACAGGGCCAGGCGGTTTAGCTTGTACCACGGGCTCCCTCGGACTGAGCTCCTGGTCCTTCAGCCACTGCCTCCGGAGCTTCGTTATCTGCTCGAAACGGAGCTTTTGGTCTGGTGTGTACCCAGACATCTCTTATTTACTAATATTCAACCTCGAAAGATCTACAATGACACCATGGAGGACACTTCCCTCTGCAGGAAAGTGCACCGACGAAGAAGAAGAGTCGGAAATGGGACACATATCGTTCTGTGGTGTATTATAGCGCGCCACCTGCTGCATGAACTGGTTACTGGAGGACCAATGACAGTAGTGAAACAAAATGTTGCACTCAGCTCTAAGTGGAACAAAAGCGGGCTCACACAATAGCAATATATACCGACATCAGGAATAGATGATAAATTCACAGTATAAATAAAAAACTAATTTTAAATGTGTGTGGTGGATACTACAAAGACACAGGTGTTTTCTCATGTTTTGTTACCTTTGGGTTGGGCCAGCAGAGTCACAGCCTCCAGGAAGAAGTCCCTCAGTCTGGTGGTTCTGCTCTGCAGCCACTTTCCCAAAGGGAGGGAGACAAACGGTGTGTGTGCTGGGTGAGTAGCGTCGTTTAAGCTTCAGGAGGCTCTTTCCAGCATCTGCTTATGTACATGTCTGTAGTTGTTGGGAGGCCGCTGCCAGGAGCCCTTTGAGGATCGTTCTTATCTCCATGATCATCTCCTTTGTTTTCCTGACACTGATGCAGAGACTGTAAACCCTGCACCAGCTCTTCTGTCACATTACATCCTCCTTGCAAATATCTGTGAATAGTTTGATCCAGAAATTGGTTTTGTGGGTGACAAAAACCTCAAAGTGACCAGAATAGAATGAAAACCTGAATTAATGAGATTTTCATCAATAATTTAAATGTCTGGTACTGTCATGTCTGTGGGTCATCCTGCCCACTAGATGGCAAAAAAAAACACAAGACTGACGTGAAGCCTCGGCGGGCCTTTTAAAGGGACAGTGTCTTGATTAGGCTACTCCACAGTTCATGTGAGCATTAAAAAAACAATGATTTCTAAAAGTCTGGTTTGCAAACTGGGATGTGAGTTTGAGCAGAGAGAGCTCAACAACACCACAGCCACGTGAAAAAGAAAGTTATCACAGGACTCTCTGCAGCCCTGTAAATAAAAAACCCAAGTGCACTCTTACTGCTTCCATAGGAATTAAGAGAGTAAAGTAGCAGCCAGGTGCTCCTGATGCAATGCATTCACTGATCATCAGCAAGTGTAACATCTCCATGAAAGCAGAAGCTTTGGCAATTTGTTGGTCTGGGACAAATTCAAGGAGTGTGAAATGATATAATGGGCAACCATACATATCCTACTGCAGGGTGGTCTCATAGTGACGTTTAGTGAACAACTGTAAAAACTGTTCACTGGCTTCATCTTCTCACTGTTTTTCTAGAATTAAATAAGTGTCTTTACTACATTGTAATGGATGCAGCTAATGTTTATTTTAGCTGACTGTTTAAATTAGAACACCAGCAGGCAAGAATAGGCACGATGGGAATCTAAATACAAGTATTTCATGAGTACTTTTATGAAAACTGTAGGTTCCTCGTTAAATATATATATATTTTTTAAAGGTTCAAAATTCGGGACTATAGCAATCAGGTCTTTGTATCACACAGCAGTCTCCAATGCGTGAAAAGAGAAGTGTTTGTGAGAGCTTTTACTTTAAAACGACAACCGGAAGTGGCTTTACAGTAAAACGGTCCGACCTACGGCTCGGAGCTGGCTGACCGGGTTCATATGACATTATGAATATAACTAGCTAACATCAGTTAGTTTGTTGGCTTTAGGCTCAACAAACAACTAATATTTATTAGCCTAGCATTAAAGTAGCAGCAACTACAGGTAAGCTTGCTTATACTATTTCCGGAATGTTTCACATTTCGGTTAGTGGCCATTTAACGGAACGGGAGGCTACCGAAACTTGAAGTGCGGTATTATTGCTGTAAACCTCCTGTCAAACTCTGAACTCAGTTAACATTAAGCTGTGAAATAACCGGTCTTTTACTTAAGCTCAGTATAACATTTAGAGGTAAATCACTTGAATTATGTGGTTAATTAAGTGGTTTCTGGAAGCTAACTTGGTAGCTCTTAGCTGTCCAGCAAACCAACGGTAACGATAACCAGCCAACCATATGTCAAGGTGACGTGCCTATATTACGTAAGGACCTACGTCATGTTGAGCTATGAAAATGTGAAAAGTCAATAAAAGATAACAGATGGTGGTTTCAAAAATGTTTTATTGGTGCTGTAATTGGGGGGGGAATGGATATTTGGGGGACCCATTGAAGTCTATACAACAAAATCGAAAAACATAAAGTCACCGGCCACTTTATTAGATACACCTGTTCACATTGTTTTAGCTAATCGACTGATCACATCGCAGCAGCTCGGTGCATTTAGGCCGGCAGGTATGCTCCAGATGACCTGCTGGAGTTTAAGGTGATTTCAATGTGGCATTGTTGTTGGTACCAGGCGGACTGCTCTAAGCATTCAGAAACTGCTGATCTACTGGGATTTTCCTGCACAGCCATCTCTAGGGTTTATAGAGAATAAGCCCAAAAAAAGAGAGAGAAAATATCCAGTGAGCTGGTTGCAGGTCTGAATGATTGTCAGAGAACATTCAACTGATGGGAAGGCAATAGCAGCTCAAATGAACACTGGTTACAATCATGATATGCGAAAGAGCCAACACTACATCAAGCTCTGAAGCAGCAGAACAAGCTGTTACTCCTATCACCTGAGAACAGGAAACTGAGGCCACAATTCACACATGCTTCCTGAAATTGGACAATAGAAGCTTGTAAAAATGCTGCCTGGTCTGATTAGTCTCTATTTCTGAGACATTAAGATGGTAGGATCAGAGGTTTTGTGTAAATGACATGAAAGCGTGGATCCATCCTGCTTTTTATTAATGGTGCAGACTGTTGAAGTTGTAATAGTGTTTGAGATACTTTCTTGGCACACTTTGGGCCCCTTATTACCAACTGACCATCGTTTACATGCCACAGCCTATCTGACTATTGGTGCTGACCATGTCCATCCCACCCAGCAGTAAAATACTCTTTATTCAGCATTTTTATCCGTGTAACCTTTTTACTCATTGTTCCCTTCACTTTTGCAGGATCACCACAGACTGTGGATGGAGTCAGCACCAAACTTTTCACTGATTTGTATAATCACAGCGAGGGACCTCAGGGTTTGGGATTCACACCGTCCTGCACACCATCAAAAAAAAATGGTCAAGTATTTCTGTAGCAGCACTGACATCAGGAGTACATGGGACCATGTTGTCTCTGCTTTCTGGCAGAGGTACCCAAACCCATTCAGGTACTCCAGCATTCTCATAATCAGTATTTTATCAAAGGTGCTCATTAGAAAACACTAGCAGCATGCCTTCAGATGTCAGTCCTCCTTCAGCCGTCACATGGAGAGCCATAAAATTTGCTACTAAAAATTAAGGTGCCAAAAAAACGAGTCCTTTTTGACTTTGGGATTACCATTGCTGGCTTTTACTTTTAGTGAACATTTGAATGCTGTGTGATATCTTTTAAATGCTTTCTATTTCCCCTGATCTCCTCACTAGTTGGAAAGTAGGAATTACATTAACTTTGCTGAACTGTGGTTTAGAAAATGTAAATAATTATGTAGTGCAATGTTTTAGTGTATTGTTTAATCATTCTTCAAAACTAGGCAGTCGTGCAGGTGATGCCTGTATATTGTTTCAATTTTGGAGGCTTGCAAGCAAAACTACGCTTGTCAGTCTTGAGTGAGATTGAGAACTGAGACAGTGTATCAGAGAAGCAAAACTCAGTTTGGCTGATCGAGGTGGGCAGGTGGTTTATGTGCTTCTTGTTTTTTTTATGCCTGACTTAGATGACATCAGAATATTTTACTTGCATGTATTTTTCTTCTTTCTTTTGGTGTATATTATGATGGTGCACTCTTTGAACGTACACTAGAAACAGATGAGAAGCCTCACAGTAACCCTGTAGGTGATGTGGCTGTGTGTTTTTGTGTCACCCAGCACCCATGTTCTCACGGAGGACGTCGTGTACCGGGAGGTAACAGCAGACCACCGGCTCCTCTCCAGACGGCTTCTAATGAAGACCAATCGATTGCCTCGCTGGGCGGAGCGGCTCTTCCCCGCCGGCATGTCTCGCTCTGTGTACGTCATCGAGGACTCCATCGTGGACCCAGTGAACAAGAGCCTGACCACCTACACCTGGAACCTCAACCACACAACTTTCATGGTGAGGCTTTGTGTTGTTGTTGTTTTTTTCCTGCCGTCTACTCGTTGAGCTGTTTCAGAGAGATTCTAATCAACACGCAGCCAGTTTCCTGTGTTATGCCTTTTTCCTGATGGGTTTTAATCATCATTGCCTTTGTGATCTTGTGTGGTGGAGAGAAATTAAAATTTTCACTTGACTCTGCTTGTTTTTCTGCTGAAGTTGCTGTGAAAGTAGGTATGTGTTGTTTGTGTTTTGTTTTTTTTACATGTGAAACTGTGTAGGACTTCTGTCAAAGCTGTCATCTTGCTGCCATGATATAAGGAAAGTAATGTGGTCTGACATCACATCACTGTTGTGGTTACAGGTGTTGTAGAGTACTGTGGGTTGCCAGAGTCTGGCACAGACAATAACAGGAATAAAGAAATCAGTTCACACAAGGACAGAGGTCCTTATTTCGCACACGCATTTATACGCACAACTAAATGTTATATTGTTATGATCTTTTCTTAAAACTTTAATGAAAACTGCACTACGTTACAACATACTTGATGATGCTTGTGTTTTTAATTTGCTGCAGTCTGAAACATGATGGCTTCATGGGAAAATATGGAAAACATTTTGAGACATGGTAGTTCTGTGCAGGTGTTGAGACAAAAACAGTTCTTCAAATCCTTCAAAGGCTTTTGCAGAAAGAAAGATCGTCTTTAGTGAAGTTACGTCTCCAGAAATCTTCTTGCCAAGACCACGAGTTACTTAAAATCCTGAAATGATGACTTCCATAGTAAATCTGTTGAGTTGCATCTTAGTTTATTATAACCTGCTGTCACTATTCTTTCCCAATCAAGTCTGTTGAGGAGCGTTGTGTTTTCCAAGGCTCAGTGGAGCATCCAGCGACCACACAGCTGAAACGTGAGGCGTGGATATCCTCGAGCATTTATGGCTTCTCCAAACCCATTCAGGTAAGACAGACCCCAGCCAAAACCACTGTATATAAATGTGCCTGAGACCTGCATTCACTCTCATTGCCAGCAGAGGGCAACTCATGTAGCTGCAAGCAGACCTCTATGAGGAAACAATCAGACTTCTTATTTGATTTAGGAGCTCAAAGTAAGCACTATCCTCCTACATTTTTGGACTTGGTTGCTAAATTCAAATCATGATGTTCCTTTTTAAAAGAAGTTATGATCCCGTGTTTAGTAAACTAAACAGTACAAAGATTTATTGTGCCGTTTTCTTAGTTTCTTAGTAAGATCAACTGTTTGCGCTAACCATCTATAAATGTCTAACGTGCTAAATCTGCAAATTTAAAAAAAAAAAAATCCACAAACCACACAGCGATGTCATGGTTGCTTCTCCCAACTTTTATATACAGTCTGTACTCTGGCTTTCCTATGTGTGATAGACACAAGACAGTAAATGAATTCTTTTCTTTCAGTAAGAGCCCATCTGCCCTTTAGGTAAGTTAGATGTCAGTCAGCACAGGAATGATATGAGTACTCTTAGAAGCATTTATTCGTCTGCTTTCATCTACTCTACGGCGGTTCAGATAGAATAGATGCAATTCTTTTCACTCTAGAGGCCGATGTCCTGAATTTTCAGGTCTTTACTTTAGCGCTCATGCTAAAATAAAGTAGTGGGAGAAGTGAAATTACAGCAACAAAACAAAAAATAAGTCTACTAAATTGGAATCATTAAATATGGAAGATGCCAGGCTTGTTTGGATATCCCCAGAGACTTGCAGTGACAAGACGGTGTTGTTTCCCAGACAATCTCCCCTGTGTAAAGCCATTTCCTGTTCTGTCTTCTCACAGGAGTTTGGTTTGGCTCGCTTCAAGAGCAACCAGGTGAAGGCCATGAAGGGGCTGGAATACACACTGTCCAACCTGCAGGGTATGTACACTTCATGTGTGTTCTAGCTGAAACAGGGCAGAGAGCAGGAGGAAAAGCAGAGGAAAACAAAACAGCTTATTTTTAACTGTTGCCATTTCTGGAAGGGGGGAAAACTTAAACAGGAAATGGAGCTTTCTTTTCGCCCCAGAAACACAGGACTGCTGTCATAACAACCTGAAGGGGCTCACCCCTGCCACTCTGGACTCAACACTAAACTTCCCAGCATCCTGAAAATACATAATTGACAAGTAGCCTGAAGAAATCTTACTCCTCCACGTGCCATGTGATAAAAGGCGGGGGGATGTGAAACCATGACAGCTACAGTCACAAATGGCTACAATTTCCTAATTTAGGTTTGGACAGAAATAATTTAGGTAGTCAGTGTTGCATAAAGAGAGTTTAACAGAGTAAATCATAATGAGGGATGTATGAAGAGATGTATTAAAGAAACAACAACACTTAGAGATGAACCATCTGCAGATGAGTCACTTTTTCTAGTGTTGATTTATCAGTTTCTCATATTGGGTAGGGTTTAGTTTAAAATGATAGGACACCAGCTAAACCTGAAAATGTTCACATTTGAGGGATTTTTTTTTTAAAAGTACTGTAAGTCTGCGCACTACGAATAACCTCAAATAATTTGTACATTAAGTGTGGAAAGTCAAATTTAACCCCAAAGAATAAGATAATATTTACATTGTTCCAAACTGTGTGTTGTGCTCATGCAGCGTACGTGTGTCTGATTGTTGTGATTCCGTCCTGTTGCCACTTTTGTTGATGCCACTACAGGAATCGGCATCAGGCTGAGCGTCATGGTAAGTGTGCTAGGACTGAGGCATCCATCTGCCATCCCAGGCGTTGCCCGGGGGTTGTCACATGTTGCTGCACAGAGTAGACAGCGTAGCTGAGGCAGTAACTTTTTACCCTGTCTGAGCAACAGTGATCTAAATAGTAGTTTAGAGTATAGAAGTAGATGTGTTGTTTAGTTGATTCTGATGTGATTCTTATTTTAAAATGAATTAAATACGGTTGTGATGTTTTGAGTCATCATCAACCACTGAAGGAATTTCATCAAATTTGGCACAAACCTTCATGTAGAGAAGATCACACTCACTGGACTCTTTGTTAGGCAGGCCTGTTCAGATGCTTGTTAATGCAAATATCTAATCAGCCAATCACGTGGAAGCAGCTGGGTGCCATTTAGGTATTTAGACCCAGTCAAGATAACCTGCTTAAATTCAAGCTGTGCATCATTATGAGGAGGAATTTAAGTGACTTTACATGTGCCGTGGTTGAGGGTGCCAGATGGGCCGGTCTGGGTATTTCAGTAACTGCTGATCTGCTGAGATTTTCGCAACCATTTCTACGTTTACAGAGAATGAAAAGGAGAAAATGTCCAGTGAGCTTCAGTTTTGCCTTGTTGGAGCCATAGGATCTGATAGGAAGGTGACAGTAACTCAAATTGTCACTCATTACAACCAGAGAAGGCACAAGACCATCTTTGAATGTACAACCTTGAAGCAGATAGGTTACAGCAGCAGAAGACCACAGCAGGTGCAATCTGTCAGCTAAGAACAGGAAACTCAGGCTACAATTTACACAAGCTCACCAAAATTGGACAATAGAATTTGATGTAAACAACACAATGTATCCTTTGGGTCACTTCATACCAACTGTATAAGCTTACACTTCTTCTACATGTTTGGAAGAGAAGTGTAAGCTTGGGGCAGAGGGAAGGTTTTTCAGCCTTATCTTCCCATATGGAAAAGAAATAGTAAAAACTTATAGGATTTGCTCATGAAAGTGGCCACTTTCTTATTACTTTCATATTTTTTTTAGTAAGTATCCAAAACATACAAGTTTCATACAAGACAGATACAAACTTTATAAGATTTATATATATCTTTTCCATATGGGTTAAGCAAGAATCAATGTGAGCAGAGCGTTTATGAGAGCATTTTTAAGCACTGTTGCTCAGTCTTTGTTTGTACACGCACACCTTCAAAATAACGGCCCAGAGGCATTACCGAAATGGCTACAGAGTGGCAAAACTCACTTTTAGAAGGATTTCAGCATATGTTGTATTCTGGTGGTAAACACAATGATGAATTCGATTTTCTTAGTCAAAAAGGTTTGTCCTTACCTCGTTCATTTGTTAGGGAAATTGTCAGTGTAAAGGAGAAATCTATGGTTATGTGTTAGTTTGCTATTTAAGAGCGCATACAGAGAGATGGACTGATGAGGGTGTGTTCAGAGGTCGTCAGGTCCTGAGATGTCTAAATGTAAACAGCCGTATTTGTTTCATAACATAATGAATGAAAATCACCTGAAATGCCACAGCACAGAAACAGACCGGAAGGTTATTTCCCACCCGTGTTTGTAGTCTGCAAGGACTCTTTAACGTTCAGGCAGTGTGGGTAAACCCAGACGACGGGAATGCTGAAATATTTCTGACATTTTGATCGCACACAGGGGTGGATTTTTTTTTTTTTTTATTAACATGGTTTCAGCAATGCTGGCAGCTAGATAAATAAGTTAAACATTTATTAATAAATTAAAAAAAATGAACTAATGGAATGAAAATAAATAACTTTAAAAAAAATGCAAAATAATATATATATATATTTTTTTCTCCGCCTGTCCCATTTGGCTCTTTAGCCATCAGAATTGTTGTCTGAAGGATTTACTTTACCTATTGGATCATCATGGCCTTGCCATATTGGTCCATTTGATTGACTTTTATTATAATTATGCATTTATTTGATTTGATTTTCGGTTGTTACAGACGGGACAGACATGACTGGGGGATAGGACAGGGAGAAAGAATGAAAGAGAGAGAGAGAAAGAAATAAAGAAAAATAGAGGGAAGAAGAGATGGTGAGAAAGGGGGAAGAAGAAAATGAAAAACAAACAAAACACCTGGATCACCTGTATGGAGATAAGAAAAAACAGAAGAGAAAACAAACAAAAAAGAGCAACATAATAAATACAGCACCATCACAATAAACTAGATAACAGTAGATACTAAATATTACATGTTATTGTGCAGTACGCAAGATCGACAGCGCACAATGTGCTTTGAGGTAGCAGCCAAGAAAGGTGTAGTTTGTGTCTGTGAACACCTGTGTGCACACCTGTGTGGATCAGCACGCTTGTATTCAAAAGGTTTCTCCATGTAATGATCTGCTAGGGAGTGTGGGGAGCCATAGCCCCGTCCCCCAGGGCATGAAGCAGGTATGGAGGAGATCCAGGCCACAGACATCCAGAGGCCCCAGAATACGAGGACCCAAGGAAGACCACCAGGGGGGCAACTGTGCCACCCTCCTGGGAAGAGCTGAGGAGCACCCCAAAATAATACTTTTGCTCACATGTGTCTCATTTTACAGTATTTGGGAGAGAGCCAAGGGAGGGGGGGGGGCAAAAAGTCACCTGCACAGCCTGTTTTTGATGTCATCTCTACTCTGCCATCTTGCCTGCCAATGGTGCTTTGGGAGGTTTAGCGTTCAGATGAAATCACTTGGGTTCCAGGAATTTTCCACAACATCTGTGAACAGAACCAACCCGTTCCTCCGTGTTTCCAGCTTCAGCTTCGATCTGTTTCCATCTTTAGCAAAACTTTCTGTTCGCTCACACTCGATCATCAGAAAAGTGATTTTTATATTTTATCTTCTATAGATGCTCAGTGGGATTGAGGGCAGAGGTTAAGATACAATCTTGGAATACAAAACATGTTTTCTTAGACAGTTGCCATGCGAGTATCTGAAAGTACCACACGTCTCCAGAAGTTCATATCTTTGCTGATATGAATTTCACTATAGTTTGCTGATTGGATTTTTTTTCTTTTTAATATTGCTTACTATGTACATTTAAATCCAATAAGCAATTTTTGCTTTGTTTAAAAAGTGCTGCCTTGAAAAAACGTGAGAGACTTTTGTTTTTGACCGTAAGGAGTCCCTCCCCGCTGTTATTGTCAGCGTTCAGACACACAAAGAGCCCTTTCCCTTTGACAGCGCTAACGCACACTCGCACTTCATATCTACGTCTCGGTTTAAAAAAATAAAAGTGCAGAATTGAAGGAAATGCATCTCCTTATCATCTCGTGTTTGAGGGGGGGGGAATCACTGTGTCTTGTTGTGACTCAGGTTGTTGTTCTCACACGAGGTTGTGGGGTTCATAGTCAGGGCAGACACAAATAGACTGTGCAGCCCCTGGCGCTAAATCCAGTATGAGGCTGTTCCTGACAGCATACAGATGAGGAGAGTGCAGGCTTATTCAGTGAAGCCTTTTTAGAAAGGTCCTTGTTGATATGTATTTATTTTTTGTATGTGTCACCTTACCTTTCCTTACCTTTAATGACTGTTAGAGGAAATTAGGTCTGACTTAGTAACAGCGCTGAACTGAGTGAGCACTGTCTGGTAAAAGTTAACAAGTGCACGGAGAGGAGCTCACTTTATCTTCACTGTAGTAAAAGTATTCTCTTTGATTTTTGAAGGCGTGTGTTTCTGTGTGCTTGTTTCCTGTGGGTGGCTCCGAAAACAACAACAAGAACAAAAAAAGGCAGCACACTTCTCAAGCTACTAAATCATGAAAGTCACGAGAAAATCGGCCACAGAAGTGTCAGTGAGCATCCTGATCTCAGCAAGGATCTCGCAGTGTTGCTGATGCCTGTCGTCCTCGTTCTCTCCCGCCTCACCCTCGCTCTCTTCCCACAGGAGAGGCGCCCCAGCAGCTGCTCAGGGACACAGTGAAGGACGCGTCAGAGAAGGCCAAAGAAGCAGCCAAGACGCTGGCTTCAGCTGCTGCCGTCCCACAGAAACCCCGGCAGTTTATCTGAAAGCACTGTGTGTTTGTGTGTCTGCGTGTGTGTGTGTGTGTGGACTCGGCATGATTGCCTTTGATCATCTCGATCATCTTGAAGTTTTGCTGTATGCTCGCTGTTTACGATTTCTCTTAATAAGAAACAGTCTGACTCCTCTGTCGGGTACCTCTGCTGACAAATCTGCTGTCAAAGACGATTATAAACATCGTTATTATCAGCACATATGCTTTCTTCTCATTGGCTCTTTAAAGTTTATTATATTTATTAACATATCATTTATTATTGAGCTCCAGCTAAAAGCTCAAATTAGACCAAATCACAATCACGTGACTTTGTAATTTTAATTTAACTTCATCGGTTAGTTATCAGAGCTGTAGTTGAATGCTTAACTGTACTTAAGCTTTACGGTTCATTTTTTCAGGTTTGACACTGCAATAAACTGCAGAGAATATCTGTTACAGGTGTCAGCACACAGCGTCTGCTGTAATATCGTTCTTATGTTTGGAAAGCATATGTTTCTGCCAGCAGGTCTGTACTGATGCATGGATAATCACAAGAAAAAAGTTAAGCTAATTTAAAGCTTTAGTAAAATCTTCTTTACTGTTGAAGTTTATTTTATTGTAAACCAGGGGTGTCAAACTCTGTGTTGTGGCAGCATAGAGAGTAATTTTATCTTAAGTTGGTCGGACCAGTGAAACTACAGTACTGCCTAATAAAGTCTTAAAAACACACTGCCAATTGTTTGCCCTTTAGATTCAGTGTAAAGAAGTTTAACTACGCGCTTAAACGATGATGTGTTATGAACATGAAGTGCAATTTTAAATATATCTGTTGTTCTGCATTATGAAAAACAAGGACGGCTGTTTGGCTTTCACGTTAAGGAATAATAGCATAAATTAACAGAAAAAGGGTCTTTTTGTTCTGTAATATAACAAAAAAAAATTTCTGGATGAAATGAAATGAATAAATAAGAGATCTTTACTGTTAATTCTATAGAATAATTTTATTATTTTTGTTTAGGTGTATTATGCTATGCTGTGTGTGATGTTTTTGTCAGTAATAATAAAACTGACCAAAATGCAGTTAATGTCAAAAATCTAAGTTTTTCTTCTTTGCAATATTCTAAACCCATCTGCTGGGCCGGATTGGACACTTTTGGTGGGCCGGTTCTGGCCCCCGGGCTGTATGTTTGACACCCCTGTTGTAAACTGTTTTCAACAACTGCATTCCCTTCAGGATGGAATCGACTGGATTTGTTTTTTCGCTCCAACATTTTATTTATTATTAAAAATTATTCATGTGATGTATTTTTAAGAAGTCTTTAGGGTTTTGTGCTGTAAGATGTCCATAAATCTCTCTGGACTTTCAGTTTAATAGCTAGACATGTTTTGAAGCTCGTCAGTGTTAAGCTGAGATTTAATAAAAGTTTGACGAGTTATTTGTCGAGTTAATTGCGCCTGTTTGTTGACGCCGTCACCCAATGTCTCTTCGCTGTCACGCTGACAAAAGATGAACTCTGAACTTTAAACATCCCCCCAATATTCCAGTTTCGCAGCTGCGTAAACCAAACAGGAAACCCTGAAACATTTCAACGTCTTTACCTACATTTTCTGTCAGCTTTGTTCAGCTGTAGGTCGTCAGTTTTTAATCTGCTACCTTCCCCCGAAAAGCACTGATGACACCAGCACACACGGCTTTCTGTATAAAACATTTTAATTATATTACAATGAGAGAATACACAATACCTTAAAGTGTTTGCTAAAGCATAGCCAGCACCAGGTACTCGTGTACGCACGCTCACACGCACAAAAAAAAAATGGAACTTATACATCTTCTGAATTACACATCTGCTTAAAAGCAACATATTCACAGGTCTCTGGCACAGAACTCCCCCCTCAGCCCAAACAAACCCCCTCATCATCTCCCCCTCAACTAAATCCAAGCCAGTTCAGCCTCTAGCTTCTATGTGGGTACAAAGAAAAAAAGGAACCATAACGTTGTAGGACAAAACAATTAAGGAGAAAATACAAAATAAAAGGCTGAAGTGCAGAAAGCAGGAAGCTGACCTAAAGCCTACAGGTAGTTAAAGCTATCGTATTAATCATTAAAAAGATTCAAAAGTGACTCTTTATTTGGCAGGAATAAGATTTCATGGAAGTCATTCTGTGGGTTTGTAGAAGCACCTTTAAAGCAGCAGCAGGCTAAGGGACAGAAAGACGTGTTTCTCACTTCATCTGTGTGCACGTGAGCTGCAGACGCCCCCCATACTCCGTCATGCCCACCACCCTCTTTCTTCTCCGCCTGCTGACACCCACCCAAAAAACAAACTTTTGTGCTCTTAGAAATCTCTGTGCAACAGCAGCATGAAAGCAATAACATCAAATCTTTTCTTGTGTACTTGTTATGACTTTGTTTTGTTTTTTTAAAATAAAATCCCACTTTGATGTTGATGAACATTCCCACCCCAGCACCACCCCACTCTCCTCTGTGTCTCTGTGTCTTGCCGTTAACCGTTTGCTTCTTCTGTCACGAGAAGGGAAGCGGAACAAGATGGGGAACTTCGTTGTTTGTTTTTTTTTAAGTTAGGGCAACTGATTCAACAGTGTTCATTAAGTGGTACAATCTCTTTAAAGAACCCTCCCACCCCCCCAAGGCACATCATTAAAAGATTTTCCCATAAACACGATCCATCCAACATTCAAGCAAAATGTCTGCATGTCCAATCAGCTGCTCATACACTACACTGAGTGAAAATATATGTATGTGTTTTAAAAATCTCTAATCTCATATCTATCCCCCCCCTCACCGCCTCATCGTCCCGCTCCCTCCCTCTTTTTGTCTTCTGCTTCTTTTTATGTCAATTATCGCTGTGGGAGGTTCTGTGCGAGAGAATATGCCATTTAGTAATGGTTTACTCAGTTGTTCATTTGACTGACAAACTGAAAAAAGGACATTTTTTGCTACAAACAGTCATGTACAAAGTCTTTGACATGAATGTAAACTCGATGATTAAAAAAAACCCGAAACAAACAGCTGTTTTTTCCTCATCTATAGTTACTTTTTTCCCCTCCTGCAGAATATGGAGAGAGTGCAGATAGGAGGTAAAAATTAAAAAATATATATAAGAGTTGGTCACCAAAAAAAAAACAAAAACAAAAAACAATGCACCACAGAGTCAAGAGCAAAAACCACCTGCTTGTCTTTAAAAACCCTGCGCCCCGCCCGCCCCACCCTCCCTCAGAAAGCACAAGATGGTAATATTGCTGTGTCTCAAGAGGTCCCCTGATCGATGGGTAACACTTTGTTTGGGACGCACCACCGGGAGCTCGGAGGATAACACCGTTAAGCTGCCATTGATTGGATTATTCTGTTTTTTTATCGCTCCTCTCCCAGTGGCTCCCACCGAACAAACAAGTCAACATACAACAATAATAAAATGACAAAAAAATCAAAATAAAGATAAACACGCTTCAAGCCCAGAAGTTTTTAACCCCGTCGGTGACCATTCGGGGCGACTGGAAGCTGCCATGGGAGTTCACCAGTGTGTGTGTGTGTGTGTGTGTGTTTGTTTTTTATCTCCATGACAGAGGCGGCGCTGGCAGACGGGCGGGCATCGAGAGGGCGGAGGAGTGCCTGGACAGGGTGTAGTACAACAGCGGCTTCAGTAGGAACTGAGATAAAGGGGGAGGTGGGGGGGATAATTTTTACTCATTTATGAGGTCTTCTCTCTTCACGCGGCCCTCACGCATGGAAGTGTCTCACGTTGAAATTAAAAAAAGGCCCCGCCAGAGGAGGAGGAGGGAGGGATGCAAGCGAGAGGGGGAGAGGACAGGGGGGAGCGTGACCTGAGTAAGGGCCAAAGAGGAGGAGGAGGAGGGAGGTCGAAGGCTCACCAAGGCACAGAATGACAGCAGGAGAGTCACCCAAAGGGAGAGGGGCCAGTCTATCAGCTCCCCTGCTCCCACTCTCCCTTCATCAAGCCTGGCCTCCTGTCTGTCTGGCTGTCACTCATATTTTTATATATATTTATATATATATATTTTTTTTATATATAGATAAGATAGATATACTCACTCTTTTTTGTCTTTTCATTACAAGAGAACATTTAGGAAAATATAATACAAAATTTAATACAAGAAATATAGACTACACTGGCTAAACTCACTTTCAGTGACGAGTAGATTCTGTATGCAAGTATTTTTCTTTTTCGTTCGAGTCTTTTGTAGTTCTTTTCTTTTTTTTTTGGGTGGGGTCAGATCCGTCTCAATGGCCTGCCCCTTTTTGTGTCTGTGTGTTTTTTTTTCTTTTTCTTTTTAAAGTGCCAAGCTCTAAAGGACTGCCAGAGACCGGGGCTAAGGATTATTAAACGGTCAGAGAGCGACAGAAGCGCCTCGTTCGTCAACAGTGACTAATGTGCATAAGTTACAGACGGGTTAGAGAACAAGGTTCACCTACATCGGTGTTCAGCCGTGCCCGAAGCTTCGCAAATAAGCCACAGATCAGCCGAGGGGATAAGGAAAGTGATTAGTTTGCTAGGTTAGATAAAAACGAGTGCCTCTAAAATGAACAAATCACTACAAGCTTGCCCTCCCTCCCCTCCCGGGTGTTTACAGCTTTGACTTGTTAATCGATTTAAGCAAATATTTAAAATACCACCGACTTCTGACCGAGAAGGCGACAAGAGCTGCAGAGAAATGCGAGATCTGGGTAGATGGTGACGCGCTCACAGAGAAGCATCCGTTAGTGAAGGAGATGCAGGTCTGTTAATGGTGAGCGACAAATCCCCATCTAGAAATAAAAAAAGAAAAATAGAAAAAAAAAAGTCTCCCATAGAACCTCATGGTCTGCCAGAATCGATTAAACACTCAGAGGAAGCACCTGCCTCATGTATTTATTGCTACATCAATTAGCTACTGAGAAGGAAACAAGATTTGAGTCAAATGTAAGGAGTAGAGTTTTAGTTTTGAGGAAACTCCTTTTTTTTTCTCATTATTTGACATAGTAGTCCATCCACACCATAGGGTGGTATAGTGTAGTGGTCAGTAGTGTGGAGTAGTGGTTAGGCAACCCAACCAGAGGGGAGACACGAGGGTTTCTACAGTATCTGTACATCTATTTACATTCTTCCTGCTCTGCTGCAGCTCTCGAACCTTCTCAGGTGGTCTGTGGACACATTTTCAGCATGTGTGCAGAGTTGAGTCAGTAAGACGTTTGGACATTTAAGGGCAAGCTTAATTCACCGTTTTGTGGAGAGTTCGATGTGGTGGATAAACTTCTCGCAAGTGCACAGTGACTGTGAAGGTATCAGAGTCGTGCTTTGTTTGTTCGATGCGCACGAAAAGTGAAGCAAAATGCTTCCCATACTGGGTACGCTCGGGCGGTGGCAGCGGTTTGAGAACATCCTGCCACCGCCTCCAAATGAGAAACTCTAAAGGTTTCGTCATTTTTCACCAATCAGATGTTTCAAGGAAAGGACAGGACACCTCCTGCACAATCCTGTTGTGTAAAAGGGAAGAATCTGTATGATGAAAATGACTACCGAGGTTCCCAATGTTGCATATACTGCAGAACAAACCAAACTGCTTCATCTGTTATATCACAAACTGTGTGTGGTATTACTGCCACCTGATAATAACTCTCTCCTTTTACTTTTCTCGAACCAATTAACAGGTCAAAGCTGCGCACCTGACCACAGAACCCAGATTAAAAACTACAAGCTCTGCTCTGCGCT